CCTCCGATCTGTGATGGTTCCTTGGTCTTTTCTTATTGTCCTTGACCTTCACACATTTGCTGAGAACTGCTCAGTCGCTTGAAGAGTCTGCCTCCTTGTGGTTTGTCAGGTGTTTCCTCACGATTATACTGGGGTTGTACATCTTTGGCAAGAATCCCACAGAAGTGATGTTGTGTCCCTCCCACTGCATTGTGTCAGGGGTACAATCTGTCACTATGTCCCATCACCAGTGGTGCTGACCTTGATCATTTGCTCAAGGTGGGGTCTGTTAGGTTTCTCTGCCCAAAGAAATTACTAAGTGTCTTGTGGACAGATGTTTAGAGACCACCCAAGTACCCCATTTCTCATCGTATTATCACTCCCCCATTTTAGCATCTGTCCGCCTGTGGCTCTTGATGGCAATAGGGAATACTGACATTTGCCTATTGGTGATTTTCTGTGTCCGTCACTCCTCGTACATTTCTTAAGTGAAATTCTACTATAAGGAAGAGCTATCTCTTCTCCCCTATTCATGCAGTTACCTATGGGAATAAACCAAGGCAACTGAAATGAGAACAGAGGCTTGCTAGGGCCAAGGTGTCCGCTGCATTTGGCTGAGACTCAAAGGCCGGCAGGAGAGAGAGAGACCGTTACGGTGAAGCGTAGGCCCAGGTGCGCCTGTTGGAGGCTGTTGGGGTAAGAAGCTGGGGGCAGCTGCCAAGAAGTAGTTGCCTTATGTGATTGGTTGTGAAGGGTATATTTTTTTCCTTCTGGTTGTCCTGAGTTGGAAACAGGAACAAAAATTAGGGAATATTAAGGAAGCTGCAGTCACCTACCAAGTCCCAGCTTTTGGGGCCCATTGCTAGAGGAGTTGTGGTTTACTTTCCCTGGCTGGGTGCTACAGAGGTGGCGGGTCAGAGTTCTGCTGTCACACATAGCCTGGCCATTGTCCCTCTGTATATCCTGTCTCTCTTATCTGAAGGTTTTTGGGGCTTTATTTTGTTTTGTTTTGCATTTTTTAATTGAGGTATAATTGACACGTAACATTACCGTCATCCCTCAGTATCTCCAGGGCATTGGTTCTGGATTTACCCCTGGATACCAACATTCAAGGGGGCTCAAGTCCCTTATTATAAAGTGGCATAGCATTTGCATATAACCTACGCACATTCTCCTGTATACTTTAAATCATCTCTAGGTCACTTATAATACCTAATACAATGTAAATGCTATATAAATAGTTGCCAGTGCATAGCAAATTCAAGTTTTGCTTTTTGGAACTTAATGGGATTTTTTTGTTTTTTTCCCAATCCTCAGTTAGTTGAATCCATGGATGTGGAACCTGCAGATACAGAGGGCCAACTGTATATTAGTGTCAGGTTTACAATGTAATGGTTTAATATTTGTGTATATTGTGAACTGATCACCACAATAAGTCTAGTTAACATGCATCATTGTACACAGTTACAAATTTTTATTTTTTGTGTGCTGAAAATATTTTTAAGGAACAATCCCAGTACCCTCCCTTCCCCTAAAAAACCCTCACATAAATCCTAAGCCCCGCAAAAAAGAAAACAATCCTTACTTAAATCCTGTCCCCCTTACATTGTTCTTCATGGGCGTCTGTTCTCTCAGCACCACCTGAAACCAAGCTGGTGGCTCACTTTAGAGGTCCCTCAGCTTCCACTCTGGATTGAGGAATGTGAACTTGAACTTAAAAAACAGATTCTCTTCTGGAAGTAGAGCCATAGGGCAGCGGGTTCAGCAGAGTGATGGCCAGGGCGTCATTTGGGGTAAATATTAACAGATATAACCTCTAGCCACAGAGCCGCCACGGGGCATGGGATGTTCAGGAGCTGTGGGAGGAGAGCGAGCGCGGGTCTCCCAGGTGAACGGGCACCCAGAATGTGGGACTGAGAGGTGGGCTCCGAGCCTGAACGCGGAGACCCTCAGTGTGACAGTGTCACCAGCACGAGGAACAAGAATGTGTGTGTCCCTCTAGTCCGTGAGATCTAGGCAGTTGTGCACCAGACATACAGTGTCACAAGAGGTCAGAGATGCCAACAAAGGAGCTGAGAGAGGGCAGCAGGATGTCCCTACTGCTGGGGGTCCTGGAGGGACACTGAGGGCCAGAGCTCTGAGCTGTCCTCTGTCTTCTTTAAAAGATTGATTTTTTAGGGGAAAACATTTACAACTGGCCTAATTTAATGTTCCATCCCCTCTCCCTACCCTATGTACTATTTTATATAAATACATCTTTGAACTTGGGAGTGACTTACACTTTGAGAAGGCCGAATGTGGGTTTTGAAGCAAAACCAAAGCTCTGTGTTCCCCGCCCAAATGATGCCTACGGGGTACTATCTGGGTTTCACCTTTTTCCAAAAGTCCTGGCCAGGTGTGCATTTGCTTGTCAAGGAGCAAAACTTGAGCAAGTGGCTGCCCCAATCTTACCCTCACCCTCGTCCCCAGCACCAGGCAGTGACTTGGCTTCTCCCCTTGAGCTCCTGACCCCAGAGAACACACAGCATCCTCTGCTGTGATGAGAGGCCCAAAGGCGACTCCTGGGCCAGGTTCCTCTGAGATTCCCCAGGGACCTCCTCCCCCAGTTCTACCAGCTGCACCTCCTGTTCTAGGATTCACTTCTCAGTGTTCTAACTTATTCATCTAAAGGATATTACGTAAATAGCAGAGGCTGCAGGGGAAGAAGTCAAGAGGGAGGAGGCTCCAGGTTCCCAGCACCAGCTGAGGCCACCTGCCACACCCTGGGCCTCACCCTCAGCCGCATAGGCCATCGGTCACTATGTGACCAATGAAGATCTCCAGATAACACCCGAAGGAGCCCATGTTCTTGGGCACAGACATGGGGGCCCAACCTGGGGCTGTGTGTGGAGAAGTTCTGACTACGGTGTCCCTACTGGTGGAGGCCACTGGTGGCCGAGGAAACCTGGTGACTGTCCTGAGCATGGATGCTGTGTGGAGCAGTGGGAGCCCCAATTCAGTGAGGTGGGGGCCTTTTGGAGGGGGGTGAATTCAGAATCATGTGACAGTTTCAGGGAAAGGGGCCAGGAGGGAGCATGGAGGGGATGCCTGAGGGCAGTGGGAGGGGTTCTGACCAAGGAAGGGCCACGCGTGGGTTCGGTCCTCTCTCTGTTGTTAATGGATAGGTAAGTAGGGGGCAAGGAAATGCCAACTGAAAGAGAGTCTGTACATCCACAGTTAGGCTCCCACCTATTCTTGTCTCCTCCCATGTCCAGTAAGTCCCCATCACTGTTGACAGCTCTCTATAAACAACTGGACTGTTTCCAGGTCTTTGCATCTGGACAGCATCCTAGCTGGGTCCAGGTAGGTTCCACTCATTAGTGACAGGCTGGGTGGTGTCCTCCCTTGAGGGCTGCTGTCACGTGTTCTCCCTGTCCCCCACCCCCTCCCCAACCCACGTGGCTTCCCATCCAGACCTTCATACTTTCACTGGGACCAGCACCTGCCCATGGCCTCACTGACCCACGAGGCTTCATGCTCACCTGTTGGGGGCACAGCAAGGCATTTGCCAAGTCACCTGCAGAGAGGCGTGCCCAGTGGCCGCTCCCTTGCCCACTCGCCTCATCCACCAGTTGTGTTACTGTCCCCACACAGTGACAGATCAGCCCTGTCCTTGTGCACTGTCCCCACATGTGCCAATGCCCCCCGCTGACAGTTAAACCCAACTTTCTCCTTATGAGTGCAGTCAAGTACCTGTCATATTTTTAAGTTGTTGCCTTCCTGGTAACTTGGCTGTTTCTTTGCCTCTTTTGTGTTGAATTGTTTTTCTTTTTGTTTTGTTTTTAACTGATTTGAAATAGCTCTTTATTTCCTGGGAAATTAGCCTTTGACCTGAGAGACAAAATCTTGAACCCTTCCCCGAGGGCAGAAATCCCCTCTTGACCCTGCAATCCTGGAGAGCTGCCTGGAGGCTCCAGGCCCTGGTGGGAACAGCTTGCGGGCTGTGGCTGCCCCTTCTGCTCGGGGTTGAGGGGGCACAGGGCAACCCAGATTCTCCTCAAAGAAGGGCGTTTAGTCTTAGTTTCCTGTTGCCGCTGTGACAGATTACGACAAACTGGCTTAAGACAACAGAACTCTGGAAGTTCTGGCACTCAGAGTCCCCAGTTAAGGTGTGTGGCCATGCCCTCCGGGAAAGCTCTAGAGGAGGATCCTTCCTTGTCTCCTCCAGCTTTTCTGCTCCAGGCGTTCCTTGGCTTGTGTTATCACTCCAACCTCTGTCTCTGTCTTCACAAGGCCTCCCCATTTGTGTCTCTTTTTCTGTCTCTTATCAGATTACTTGTCATTGATTTTAGAGCCCATTTTAGGTAGGAAACAGTCATTGGGTAATTTTAAAGCATGGAAACGAGACCTCCAAGCATACCGGTGCCCAGCGGCATCTCAATGATACCAGGCCTTCACCCTTTTTTCCTTCTGGTCCCCTCTCTGCAGTTGGCTGAGCTTTACCTGTGCTTCTTCTGGGAGGTTCCGTGTAGGTTTCCAGGGAGGAATCCTCAAGTATTAGGACCCTTTACTGTAAGCTTGGCTGCAAAGAGCAGGCAGCCACACAGCAGGAAAAAGATTAATTTTCTTAAAGTATTTCTGTGGACAAAATCTCAGGTCCAAGATGGCATAAGCCCAGAAGGCATTGGGCTCCAGGCAGTTGGGGCCCCTCCACACCCCACAGCCCTGCCTCCTACTGTGACCTTTTTGGCCGCTTAACCTGTCTGAGCCAATTTAGACGGTTGGTACTAGGTGAAAAAAACAGACGACACAGAGGCCTGTGTGTGAGAATCAAACAGCCAATGAGAAAAGCTTTTGTAAACAATTAAGCTATCAGCGTGATCAGCACAGGGGACTGGCATCAGGATGCAGGCTTGGATGTCTTTCTCCTGCAGGGAGACAGAAGCCAGGTTAGGAGGAGCGTGCCACTGGTTGGCGTGTTGCTGGCATCACGGGATTTGAGGATGAGTCACAGACCCCAGGCCTATGGGGGAGGCCACCTTTTTACTTTGCTCCCTCTTGCTCCCCAGGACTGAGTCCCCACCGTCCTGAGCAGGCCTGGAATGGGTAATGGTGTGAAGGAAGGCGTGGTGCGTTTGCGTGAGGATGCTGAGTCCGTCCTGCCCTCATCTGTCTCTTCAAAGGCAAGTACCCCAGCCTCCCCATGGGCGTTCTCACCACGTCTCTCTTCTGTGCTCGCACCATATTACAGATCCCCCTACACACACTGAGGGTGAGGCCGTGGGGTTCACAGGCTGCTTTTGATTCCATTTTTATAGCCGCATTTGTGCTGTGGATCTGGGTGGCCCACCGCTTGGCCAAAAAGCCAAAACCTCATCCACATTTGGCTGGGATGTCAAAGGTATCCTTGTGCCTCTTTTCCGTCTCAGGTTTGCCAACACAAAAGAATTAGCCAGAGGTGGGGTGGGCCTCGGGGGAGGGGGCTGCGGTGAGGAGTTCACTCTTAGCTCTGAGGTTCGTCGCGATTATGCCCTTCAGTTGAAGAAGAAAAGGTTTATTCCCTCATAAAGAAATTGAACCAGCCCTGTCCTTGTGCACCAGAGAAGCTCATAGAAGTTCTCCCAGCTGAACCTCGAACACAGGCTGACCTAGCCCCACAGAGAAACCCACCTTCGCTGCCAGGCTGGCTCAGGTGCCTGCAAGCAGTGTTCAAAGTCTGTGGGCTCAAAGGCCAAAGCAGCATCATCCCCGAATTCCACGTCACCCTGTGGAGTGCCAGGCGGGCAGAACTGATTCTCAGGGCCAGTGTCTGGGTCCACCATCACCACACTGGGCGGTGGGGGGCGAGCTCCAGAATGGTCACCTCCATCCCTCACAGTTTAGTGAACTTCCCAGCAGAGTATAAGGGAGACGTAGCCTTCCCTCCATTGGCCGCTGGATGTGGATCTCACCAAGCAGATGTGCCCAGCAAGGGCCCCCACGCTGGGCATGTGCTGGGACGCACACAGCACTGGTTTTCCCCTGTGCTGGCTGGCATGACCCACATCAATCTTGGTCTACTTGGCCAGCCCAGTGCAGGAAGCTCACTGTGCCAAGTCCCATTTCTTTGGTTAAGGAGCCGGGCATCTTCTTGTGGTGTTCACGTGGATCTGGTCTGTGGATCATCCGTTTCCTCTCCATCGGACTGCCTGCCTCATTCTTCATCTGCAGGATCTCTTCATATGATGAATACAGAGACACTGACCGTTTGGTGATGCCGATGCCAAGCTCTTTAAAGAATAAGCGGGGCTGTGGTCGTTTACAAATCCCTGGAAGGGCATCCAGAGGCGGCAGTGGTGGCCTCCTCCACTGAGCGTGTGTTGTGGGCTTACAGTGGGTCCCCGGAGCTCCACATCCAGAGTTTGGGTTTAAGGACATGTGCGTTCCCGATGTGCAGAGCTGGCCTGTGATTATAAGAACCCAGACTGCACAGGAAGTAACCTGGTGAAGGAGATGGAAGGGACACATTGGACCTCCTTCTAGTGCCCACGGGGCGCACAGAAGGAATCCTCTGCTCACAGCGGCTCGAGGTGAGTAGTCACCACACTGATTCACAGACAGGAGATTAAGGCAGAGAGCCGGCTGGGCCTCAGAGCTGGTGCCAGGAACACCACCGAGCCTTCTGGCATCTGATGTCCACACCCCTCAAAGCCAAAGGGACCAGACACCCAGAACCTTCCTGTGTGACCCAGAAAAGGCAGGGGTCCCCAATAACAGGCCTGTGTGAAGCAAGAAGATGGACCCCCATGGCGAAGCTCGACCTCAGAAGCTGTGGGAGGTTGTTTGTAGGGACAGGTGGGCTGGGCTGGTGGAGGGGACCCGGGGGCATTAAGGGAAAAGGGCCAGGTTGTGGGGCACATGGCCACTGCGAGCATCTGGGACACTTGGGATAAGATCTGGGACCTGGGCCAGGAGACAGCGCCTCACTGTATCAAAGATGAGGAACAGGAGACCAGAGGGGCCATCCCGTCACTGTGGTTAGTCAGGACAGAGCCCAGGATTGTGGACAGACCCATCCCTTCCCCCTGAGTCTCCTGCTGAGCTGAGCAAACGTGGAGGCCCAGTCTGGACGCCGGCGTTGCCATTTGTACCCACCCAAACCTCATCCCTCCCCGCTCTCAGCCGCCCTGGTCCCAGCCTCTGCTGCCTCCATCCTGGGCTTTGCTGGAGCTGCCTTTTCTCTGGTTACAGTTAAAACAGCCTGTTCCCCTTCACACTTCTCCATTTCTCTTTAGGCAAAGACCAGCCTCCTTGCCAGGCCCCCCATACTCTGTGGGGTCCAGCCCCACTCCAGATTTCATCTCTTTTCCCTGTCAGCCACCCTGCCCACTTTGTGGTCCCCCAGGGCCCCCTACCCCTTCTCACCACTGCCTCTGAGTGTTCCATTCCTCCCTGTCTCACACACACACACCACAGTTAGCTGCACCTCATCCTTCAACCTCAGCCCCTTACCCACTACTCTGCATTCTCCCGGAACCCTGAGCCCCCTCCTCCTAGCCCCTCCGAGACCGGTGACTCTGCACGCATTTGTCTGAAGAATTAGTTCATGTCTGGCTTCCCCTGTGGACTGGCAGCCTGGTGGCGGGGGGAGGGGGGATTCATACATACCCCTGCCCCTCACTGTGTGTCCCCAGGCCCTGAGGGCACCTGGTCCTCATGGACTTTGCAGATTCCTGGGATCACTGAGCTCTCTGCTCCTCACCACCCCTGCTCGCTGCCGAGTGAGGACAGGTTCTGTGGCTGAGTCAGCAGTGGAATGGAGACACCAACTGGATGAGCCAGTGGCTTCCTGTGCAACGACTCAGGGCTCCATGGGCCTCAAAAGAAGAAGGGCTGTTTGAGCCAGGGCTCAGGGAGCCTCAGGAAGACCTGGGAAGGCACTGGCTCTGAGGATGGCCGCAGATGCACACAGTGCCAGTCAGCCACGTCACTGTCACCATCACCCTCGCCTTGGTTGGATGAAGAGCCACAGACATCCACCCTAGAAGTCTTGATAGAAAGCTGTGGAAAGAGGACACGCTGAACAGAGTCAGGATCTGCTTGCCTGATACCCCCTGCCCAACCCCCTGACCACAAGGATCCTTTGCCCTGAAACGCTGCAGCGTGAGAGTCCCTCACAGACGGGCAGTGGGTGGAATCAAAGCTTGCAAGTGGAACAGGCCAGGGGTGACTCTTGCATTTGTAGTCAGTCCCATTTTAGGCTGTCTCTGAGGACTTGGAACCTCACAGAGCAGCCCAGCCAGTGCATTACCTCTTGTGTGGATGGTCCCTGTGGCTCAGGAGGCTTTCCCTGTGGCACACCAGGCTCCGTGGCCACTGGACCCACCACAGCTCACCCTGTGCCCCAGCATGCCCAGGGTCCAGCAGAGCTGTGTCACTCCAGCCACAATGTATCTGGCAGCCCTGGACCAGGGGGAGAAGGAAAATGTTCCTCCTGGAAATTGTCCTCAACAGAGCAGACACCTCCGCTCCCTCTCTGACAACAGACTGCATGTCCGTGTGTTTTCTTGCAGAGTGATCACAGGCAAGTTCTCCGCTCCCTCTTGTCCGGGGCCCTGGCTGGCGCTCTTGCCAAAACAGCAGTAGCTCCTCTGGACCGAACCAAAATCATCTTCCAAGGTAAATGCTGCCTGTCATCTATGCCATGCAATAGAGAAGCTACCAGGCAGTCACCCTCCTCCATGGGCCCCCAAACTGCACTGCAAATTGGTTTTTAAGATGCCTTTTTAGAATCTACTTAGATACATCTGAAATATGTGTGGTTTACTGTATAGGAATTATACCACAATAAAGGTGTTTTTTAAAAAACAAGAATCAACTTAGAAAGTCTATTAATGTTTAGGACTGGAGTCACAATGTACCACAAATCAGGCAGCTTAGAGCAATAGGAATTTATTCTCTCACTTTCTGGAGGCCAGAATTCCAAATTCAAGGTGTCTCTAGGGTTGATTCCTTCTGGGGCCCTGAGAAAGTATCCTTCCTCACCTCTTCCAGCTTCTGGTGGCTCCAGGCATCCTTGGCTTGTGGCCGCATCCCTCCAACCTCTGCCTTACCCTCTGTGTCTGGACCCTCTCCTTTTCTTATAAGCACACTGTCATTAGATTAGAGCCCACCCTACTCTAGTATGACCTCAGTTTAATTTAATTACATTTGCAAAGACACTGTTTCCACTTAAGGTCACATTCATGGGTGCTGGGGATGAGGACATGGACGTATCTTTTGGGGGGTCAGAGTTCAAGAAACCATCTCCCTCCTTCCTTAGGGTTAAGCAAGCACAGGGTCCCCTGAAGATGAGGCCTTTCTGTCCCACAGATGGTGACCAGTGCCTGCACAGCGCCAGGCAGAAGGACGGTCACAACCTGGGACCCTTGCCCCCTCAGTTGTTTGGGAGGAGAGAACTGCAGACTCGAGCCAGTCCCTCCCCACTTCCTCAAGCTGGTCCCCTAGCCTCTCTGGGCCTGTTTCCTCACTGTAAAACAGAAACATTGCTGTCAACCCTGTCCCCACAGAGGAGTAAGCTGCCACGGGAAAGGGCCGGGTGCAGCTGAGCACGCACGCCCTCCATCGGCTGTTTTGTTACTGGAACAACCGCTCAGTGTAGCACCCCGCAGGGAGCTGTGTTTAACTTCGAAGACAGGAGGTGTGCACATGTCCACGCAGATGGGAGTACAGGGGTGTCCTGGGAATAGGGCAGACACTGGGGAAGTGAGATGGGGGCATTGCAAGACAGAGACCCCTCATGGCTTGTGTTTCTGGGTCCTCGTGGCCATTGTGGCTCCAGCCCCTGGTGACAGAGCTCACCATGGAGTGGGGGCCGTAAGCCAGGCAGCCATAGAGGGTAGTAGATGGGGATTAGGGCAATCTGTGCCAAGCCTTGGAGAAGATGGGGCAGACCCCAGATGTTCTGAGGGAGCCGGAGGCCCTTGGCTGACCCCGGCATGGTTGATGGCTGGGACACCTCCCCAGAGGGGTTTGGTAGAATTGGAGTCCAGTCAGGTTGGGGGCTGCTGGATGTCCACCCCCCAGAGATGCATCCTTGCAGCTCCTGCAGAGAACCTCACTGTCCTGGAGGGTCAGGTGGCAGCTGGACTCCCCTTCCTGGGGAGAAGTTGGTGTGCAGAGGGGCATGGCCATGAAGAGGGGAGAAGGTTCCTGGGAGGAGGGTGACATTGCAAGGTTGCCCCCACCTCAGCCCTTGTGGGGGTGGGGGGCATCCCCAGGGGCTACTCTCATTCCCCATGCTCAGACCAGAACCCTGTGGTGGGGGTCAGGCAGCCTGGGGTGTCCCATCCTCATATCTCACACTCTGTTGTGTTTTTGTTTTTTTTCCAGTGTCCTCAAAAAGATTTTCTGCCAAGGTGAGCCACTAGGTCACAGACCCCGGCTCTGGGGCCTTCACCTTTCGCCCTGCTGGGCTGGCGCAGGCAGAGAAGGAAAGTGGTGGGGGTTGGGGAAAGGCTTTTTAAGGTGCTTTTTCCCATTGGATCCCCCTAGGCCCGGGCCAGCTCCAGGGCTGCTGCTGGGTGACCAGGCCTCCCCTGCCAGGCACCAGGGCCACGGCCACCTGTCTCGCACCCTGAGCTCTGCCTGGACACAGCCCACCCTGGGAATTGACAGGAGACCCACCTATCCTGGGGGCAGTGGCAAGAGGACTTGACAGTCTAAACTCAGTTTTCATATCTGATTTATTTTTAAACACAGAGCAGGTGTCATCTTCTTAGTAAAGGAAAAGAAAGAGTAGTTTTAAAAGCTAGACTACCAAACACCAACAACGTCCTCTGGGCAGGGCTGTCAGTCTACTTTGCAAATGTGGTTCCAGGCTCACTTTACCATTACCAAGGCCAGAGGATTGACTGGGGCGGAGGGGGTTGCTGTCCCATGCTGGGCCCAGAGAATGCAGGCGAGGTGGGCAGGGGAGGTCCGTGCTCTGCGCTCTGCTAGCATGGGCGATGCTCGGGAGAGGCAGGTGGAGGCTGAGGGCGTTGACCTTGCCCCTCTCCCCTGTTCTCCCCCCAGGAGGCCTTCCGGCTCATCTACTTCACCTACCTCAACGAAGGCGTCCTCAGCCTGTGGCGCGGAAACTCGGCCACCATGGTGCGCGTGGTGCCCTACGCAGCCATCCAGTTCAGCGCGCACGAGGAGTACAAGCGCATCCTGGGCCGTTACTACGGCTTCCGCGGAGAGTGAGCCACCCCCCACCCCCCAGCTCTGCCGCATCTCCCTGGTTTCCGGTCTTCCACATGGTCACCATGTCGGAACTTCTCTGGTATCCGCGTCTCCCCGCAGAACCTAAGTCCCAGGAGGGCCAGCGATCCCAACTGCCCCAGAGCGGGTGGGAAGGGTGCACGTCGTCCAATAACTCGTTCACGGAAGGGACAGGAAAGGCAGCCAGGGGAATTTAGAAATGAAGTCCATCGAGACCCCCGCCCACCCCGCCCCCCCCTCCCGCAGCTCGGCAGCCAGGAAGCCGGCCCACGCCTGTTCTCCCATCCCTCCCCACCCAGCCCTGTGGGCGCCGGCCTCGGGTCTCACCTTCTCCCCTCCTCTTTCAGAGCCCTGCCTCCCTGGCCCCGCCTCCTCGCTGGCGCACTGGCTGGAACCACAGCCGCTTCACTGACGTACCCCCTGGACCTGGTCAGAGCACGGATGGCCGTGACCCCAAAGGAAATGTAAGCCCTACCATGGTGACACTAACACTGGCACCAGGAGCTCTGTCTAGTGGGGCTTCCAGGTTGGCTGTCTCCATCAAGAACCCTGGGGTTTGGCTCCAGGCCTCCGCATCCGACAGCAGATGAAGCGGTGCCAAGACTGCCGCCCGGACATTGCCGGGTACCATGGGGCAGGCCAGGTGTACAGCTCTGCAGCGGTTCCAGAAAGACAGTAATTGGATCTCTTAGCTTGGGGGTCAGTTTCTGCTTCCATCAAACCCAAAGTCTTCATGTTGAGTTGGGCACAGACATGTTAAAAATACATCCGACCAAAAGACAAGGGCTGAGCACAGCAGAGGGATGCTGATGGTGAAGGTGGAGTATGGCCTTAGGCCACATGGCCCCCTCCAGTGGCAAAACTTCTACCAGGGGGTTCTGTCAACTTCCGGCCCCCCCTGAAGTGGGAGGAGCCGAGAATTAGAGAGTCTCAATCCCAGTTGAGTCTCAGTGTCTTGCAGGTACAGCAACATCTTTCATGTCTTCATCCGCATCTCCCGAGAAGAGGGGCTGAAGACTCTCTACCACGGCTTCGTTCCCACGGTCCTGGGGGTCATTCCCTACGCAGGCCTGAGCTTCTTCACCTACGAGACTCTCAAGAGCCTGCACAGAGGTGAGGGGCGGGGAGCCAGGGCAGCACCTCCCTGGTCACACAGACCTGGAGAAGGGTGGAGGCGGGTAGGGGTGAGGGGCACTAAGGCTCCTCTGGGAGGGGCAGGCTGGGGGCCCAGGGGCTGGATCAGGAGAAGATGTATCCAGCCAGCCCTGAGGAAGCTGGACTCAGGACCTTTAATGCCTCATTTTGAGAGCAGCCTTGTGAAGTCCAGTGTCACTGAGAGTGCTAGCAGCCACTGGTGCGCCCAAACACAAACCGGGAAAAACCTACATGGATAGGAAGTGTCCTCCGTTTCTTTTGATAATTTTGAGAAACTGGAAAAGTACAAACACCATAACCCTGCTTGTACCTGTCGCTTGGTATGATCAGGCATTAATATTCTGCCTTATTTGCTCCAACATGTTTTCTGTTAAAATGTTTCACGTAAAGCTGAGGTTCCCTGTAACAGATCCCCAGTCCCCTCCGCATTGAGGCCTCCTTATTAGGGGGTGGGCTGCTATTTTGGGTTTCTGGTGATCAGCTGACATCCCAGGCGCTCATCTCTGTGTGGGTGTGAGACCCTGTTTTTGGTTTTCCTCTCCACCCTCTCCTCTTCCAAGGGCTGCACTTGCCCTAGGGTCCTCCCCCGACCCGCGTCACACCCCTCGTGGTGCTGGCAGGTTCCTTCATGTTTTGCCCGTCTGCTGAGGGAATAAGTAGTCTCCCTGGTTTTTAAATCCTAGTTTCAAATTTACAACACATTTTTAAAGGACCCCTGTTGATCTGTTGCTGCTCCTTCGTCCTTCCTGCCCACATGTCCTCACAGCGCCTGTTTGGATGGCTCCCGTAGGGCTGGCTGGGAGGTGGAGAGGGTTATGGACACGAGCAACGTTTTCCTTCTTTGCTAGACCCAAAACAAGAATGACTGAGTATGAGCTCGTTCTGGGTCTCAGGACTTGGTTATATAATTCTTTGTGCTCTTCTGTCTTAAAATCTTTTACTTCTCAAATTTGATCACAAACAAGTGACCTGGAGGTGTGGGAGTAGGGAGGCCATGGCCCAGGTGGGAGGACCCAGGCAAACTGGTTGGGTCTTGAAACGCACTGTGAGTGCGGGGTGCAGGGGTGCGTGTGGGTGCCAGCACCTGTGGGTGCCAGTGCGCCTTTGGGTGCGTGCCCCCTCCTGCCACCCTCACCGCCCCTCCCGCCCCTCCCCCTGCAGAGTACAGCGGCCGCCAGCAGCCCTACCCCTTTGAGCGCATGATCTTCGGGGCCTGCGCCGGCCTTATTGGGCAGTCGGCTTCTTACCCACTGGATGTGGTGCGGCGGCGCATGCAGACAGCCGGCGTCACAGGCCACCAGCGCACCTCCATCGTGCGCACCATGCACACCATTGTGCGGGAGGAGGGCGTGGTGCGTGGCCTCTACAAGGGCCTGAGCATGAACTGGCTCAAGGGTCCCATCGCGGTGGGCATCAGCTTCACCACTTTCGACCTCATGCAGATCCTGCTGCGGCATCTGCAGAGCTAGGGGCCAGTGGGGTCAGCTGCTTTCAAGCTTCAGTTGGCGGTGGACCGCTGACCCCTTTGGTTTCTGAGCCCCGGGAGCGAGGGTACGCTGGGTTCCATCCCGGGCCGCACAGATGCACCTTGTGGAACAAGCAGGGGTTGAGGGGGCCTGGGCTCAGTGCGCACAGGTCTGACAGAAAAGCCAGTGGCCCTTGAAGTGCATTGTTGGGACTGGGGGGCCAGGGCTCCCATGCTTTGTTCTTCCAGCCTCAGCAGGGCTGGGGCTGCCCCTGGAGGTATTACCCTAAACGCCCTGAGTCATGAGTTGCCAGCACTGCCTCCTGGTGCCCTTTGTGCCCTTGGACAGGCTCCTGATTCTAGTGACCCGGTACCCACTGGGCTCAGAGCCAGACCTTGCCCGCCCCTTGCTGTTCTGAGTCTCTGCTCAGGGGCGGGGGAAGCTCCAGAGGGTGTGGGGGAGAGGCCTGGCCTCCTGCCCTGTCCCCAGTGAGATCAGCCTCCTGCTCAGCTATGGCTGCAAATGCAGCCTCTCCCTCCCCTGTCCTGCCCACCCCGCCTTTGCTGTCTTCACCATTACTTCCCAGGTGACATGATTCTGTCCCCAGAGCCTCCCACTGGGAAACAGCCTTCTCCTAAGAGTGTTATCCCTATCCCAGACTCTACCTAGGATTAGGTCTTCCTCTCTGTTCCCCCCCACGGCCCCCAACCTGGTTTGTAATGTTCCCAGGAGGGTCACGCCTCCTCCAGTCAACAGGGTTTGAGGAATCGCAATAGGTTTAGGTCTGAGCCCCAAGCTAGGGGCATCTGCCTGGGTTGCCTGCTCTGGGCCCAGAACTTCCTGTCTGCACCCCACGGGCTGCACTAATGGAGGCCAGGCCTTGGGCCCTGACCCTCTGCCCTTAGGCACAGTGGCTCCTGAGGGAGGCCCATGGCACCTGGCATATCCCTGGCTCCCCACCTGAGTGGTTACTTGGCTGGGACATGGGACGGTTTGAGGCCCAGTGGCGTTGTCTGGCTTCCCGTGAATGGAGTACACAGAGGCAGCTGGCAGCCTCGATTCTCCCAAAGTGACAGCCGCTGAGACAGCGCCTGGCCTGGGGGCAGGAAGCTCGAAGAGTCAGAGTGCCCCAAGGAGCTGGTCTCACAGAGGAGCCCCCTGGGGCCTGCTGGGGACTCCGAGACACCTGGTTCCTAATGATGTTTGGAGTTTGATTTTGGAGGGGTTTGCTTTTAAATTTGACTGGCCCTGGGTCTAGACACAATAAACCTTGATCAAGTCAGTCTGGGTCCAGGACCAGGGCTACCAGAGGGTCCGTTTTCACGGTTGGCTTAGCAGCCATGATGTGTGAAAGGGTCCGAGACAGTATGTTTGCAGCCACAAATGAATTTCCAATTGTGATTTTCATTTCCTCCCTTCATTCTGCCCCATTTCTGTTTTTCATGCCTTAGTCCTGTGGGTGTGAGGACCGCTCTTTCTGTGCTGCCTGCATTTTTCCACCAGCCAGCCCCATCTTTGTTCCCAGCAGCCTGGGCAGCCTGTGATGGCTGTCCTGTGGGGTGAGCGTTCAACCACCTCCTCCCAGCCTTGCCCAGTGCTCAGGGGAGGCAGAGGTGCCCTTCACAGAGAGATGGGATGGGGACTCGAGGGCATCCAGGCGAGAGCAGCAGTGATGGAGTCCACCCCAGGCGGGTGAGACCAAATGGATGGTTAAGCAGCGCCCCCTGTTGAACTGCAGGCTGGGCCGGAGCAGGGAGGGTCCCTCAGGATGACTGGACCTGGCGTGCCTCCCCGAGGTGGCTCCCAGCCAAATGGGCCAGTGTAGCGCTGCCCCTCCCCCCAGCCCTGCACACAGCCGGGCAGGGGGCCCCCCAGTAGTCACACTGCTCTCCATTGGTTGCCTGTCCTGATTTGCAGTTACATTTAATGCCATGAAGACACTTTGTTTATATATAATGTTTATATATTTTAAAGATTTGTGCCAAGAGAGTATATTTAATAAAAATTAAAATGACTTTTTCTCCTGCCCATGTCTCTTCTGCTCTTACCCTTACCCTCCCCGAACCAAAAACAGGTTTGAAGTTATTTTGACAGATTTTTGAACAGAGGCTTCAATAAACCTTTTTTTTTAATGTAACTGTTGTATGGATTGTTAAACCAGTTTATGATTTGCTACAAAGTGCAAACTGCACAGTTTACTATGAAAAGTAGGTCTGCCTCCCAGTTCCCTTCACAGGGGCTGTTACCAGTTTCTCCTGTCTCCTGGAGAGATCCTGCGTACACACACTTGTCACTTTGGATGTCATTCTGGATGGCTGTGTCCTGCTTCAGCGAGCACTGCCCAGAAGTCCTATGATTTCTCTCTTCTGAGCCCCTTGTTGGTGACCTGCTGGGGGCTCTGCTCCACAACTGGCTGAGGCTTCGGGCCTCAGTGTCAGGTCCTCCCCCAGGGTGGCTGGCCTGGATGAGGCCACCAGAGAGCTCCCAGGGGCCACTGAGACTCGGTTCCTCTGCAGCCCATTGTCCAGGACCACTTACAGGGGTTACCCAGCCAGAGGCGGACAATGGGAACCTCCCTGTGCTCGCGGGCAGGCAGGGCAGCCAGGTGAGCACTAGTGTCTGCGTGTGCGCATGCGTTTGGGGGGCTGTGTGTGTGTGTGCGCTCGCATGGTGGTACAGGGTGCTGGGTGGCTCCACTGAGCTTCCCCCTTGCTGCTCTGCTCTGGTGCTTTCATCCAGTTTATTTCTTGCACATTGGTCCCTGATGTGTACAGGTCTCACTGTTTAGTGACAGTTTGGTGTTTTCCTGGAGGATGGCCTGTGATGAGATCCACCAATCCCTGATTGACAGGCAGCTCGGTTGTTAGTAAGTTGTTGCCATGACAACATGGTAGTGGCTCCTGGGGGCTGCTGAGCTCGCCCCCAACATCCACCCCGATTTCTAGTCAGCTCCACTTCTTGCACCAGCTCCTGAGCCTGGGGGGGGGTCAACACCTCCCCATTTCCCACCACCACTGTGGCATACCCTAATATGCAGAGGTGGGCACTTGACCCCAGCTGGGCCTGTGACAATAAAGATGTTTGCTAGCCTCTTCCAAGGAGAGCTATTGGATGCAAACATCCTCTCCCACTGGTCCCAGGGGAAGAAACCCCAACTCCAGGTGGTTGTTGGCACTATCTTGTGGCCGCAAAGTAAGAACAAATCCCAGCATGAAGCTGCTCTACTGCAGAAAGTAGAGCAGAGATGAGCAGAGAAATTGGATTCTTGGTGACATTGTCAGGGCTGCTGGATTCAGCTTTACCTGAAGCTGAGCTGCCTCTCAACTTCCAGCAACATGTCACTTTATCCTCTATTTAAAACAGGTTTCCTGGCACTTTCAACAAATTTCCTTGTATGTGAAAATTTGGCATTTAGTTCATAAGCTAGTGTGCCTGTGGGGTAAGTTTCTAGGAACAAAATTGCGCAGTAAAGATCAAGGATATATTAATAGTGTAGCTTATGTTGCCAGTGCCAGCCCCAGCATTTATAGTTCCCGCCAACTGCTCTTCCCTGGAAGCCACTTTGACTCAGCCTGGGGGCTTCCCCACAGGAGCTAATGACTGTAGACAGCTGGAGGGTACGTGGTGCAGCCCCTTGCCACTGGGGTGGAACGACTCTCAGGCCGTGTGCTATGCTTGTGCCCCTCAGGTCTCCAGCAGGACCCAGTCTAGATTGCCTAGAGTCACCTGCTCATTGACGCCCCCTGCAGGACTCCTTCCCTCCCTGTCTCACATCCTCACCCTCATCGCTGCTTCCTGGAGTCACCTCTCAGGTGAGCCAAGGGCCCTGAATCCTCAAGATAGGGTCATCTTTGGGGGGAATCTATCCAAAGAGAAATAGAAATGCCAGATACTCCTGCAAGGAGATGGTATCCGTTTACACCACTGTCCTTCGCTGTCCGAGTTTCCTGTGGCCACCGTGACAAAGTACCTGGGTGGCTTAAAACAACAGAAATGTATTTTTTCACAGTCCTGGAAGGCAGAGGTCTAAAATCTTCCTTCTGAGGGCCACAAGGGAAGGATGTGTTCTAGGTCTGTTCTTGACTTCTAGCTAGAAGTCTGTCTTCTCTGTGTCTTCTCCTTGTCTTTCTTCTGTGCAGGTTCATGTCCAAATTTCCTCTTATAAAAGAAAATTTTAGTGGGAAGTTATAGCTCTGTAGTAGAGTGAGTACTTAGCATGCCTAGGTTCCTGGGTTCAATTCCACAGTACCTGCACTAAATTAATAACTACATAAATAAATCTAATTTCCTCCCCCTCCAAAAAAAAGATAAATAAAATAAACTTAAATTAAAAAAATTTTATAGTAACCTATAATGAAAAAGAATATGAAAACGAATATATGTATGTATGTGTATGACTGAAACATTATGCTGCACACCAGAAATTGATACAACATTGTAAACTGACTAGACTTCAATAAAAAAAGAATGTCAGGGGGAGTTTATAGCTAAGTGTAGAGCACCTGCTTAGCATGCAAGAGGTCCTGGGTTCAATCCTTAGTACCTCCATTAAAAATAATAATAATAATAATAAAATAAAATAATAAATAAATCTAACTACCTCCTACCCAAAAAAGAACGCCCTCCCACAAAATAGTGGAAACCCAAAAAGAAGTTTGCATTAAAAACAAAAACAAAAAAATGTTTTTTTCCTCTTCTAAGGACACCAGTCCTATTATAGGATCAGGGCCCAACCTAACACCCTCATTTTAACTTAATCGCATCTATAAAGACCCTACCTCCAAATACTCACATTCTGAGGTCCTGGAGGTTTAGGACTTCAACACAAGAATCTGGGGGAGAACACAATTCAGCCCATAAGCACCCACGGCTGATCACCAGTCTTTTTGGTCTGCCATAATCTGACAGGGAAAAAATGGCATCTCATGACTTTACAGTGCTTTTTTACTTGTTTCTCCCGAGTCCATCTGGGAGATCTGTCCTCATAAGCGGAACTCAATCTTTCATTTTCTTACCACCTATATAGTTTCTCCCAGGTGATCTACTCATTCCCAGGTCAGCTTTTTGCCCTCAGATGTAATGCAGTGAGGGTTGGGGTATAGCTCAGTGGTAGAGTGTGTGCTTGGCGTGCGCAAGGTCCTGGATTCAATCCCCAGTGCCTCCAGTAAGGGAAAAAAATACAAAAATAAGTAAAACCCAAGAAAGTAAGAAAGAGATAAAGGGAAAAAGGGAGGAAGGGAGAACTCAGTGCCTACCGCCCTTGCACGATTCACCCGTGGGCAGGAATCTCCCCAGGATGTGTCCCTAAGGAACCTGCTGGCCATGGGGTTACCATTTCCAAGTGCTGCCAAAACACACCCCAGCGAGACTGTGCAGTGCAGGCACTGACAGGCCACATGCAGAGGTCATGGGTGTGTGCTGCGTGATGTGGCGTCTCCTTGCTGCTTTACATTGCATCCTTCCACGATCTCTTGTAAGGCTGGGCATCACTCCGTGATTGCTGGCCATTTATTCTTTCTTCCCCCTTCTCTTAGTTGTTCTGTCTATTGCAGCCCCAAATACCAGGCCTGGTAGGAGAGGCAAGAAATGTCCTCAAAGAATATGAACAGAAATTTTGTGAGTGTGTTGTGTTGCGCCCTAGAGGACAGGAAAAGGTGTGATACATTGGGCCTTGTGCCCCTCTGGGAAGGGACAAATCAGGGTTCCCAGACTTGAGTCTACCCTGAGAGACTTTCTCCACGATGGGCAATGCAGGTCGGTGATGCTACTCAGGCTCTTGCTGCAAAAAAAATTTTTTTTTGCAGAAAAATTTTAATATGAAGGGAAGCAGGTGGGAATCCTGGAGGGCAGCTGACCTCGTGCATGCTAGGCACGTGCCCTGCCGCTTGAGGTATACCCTCCCCCCAACAAAAGGATCTTGACCACCACCTTTCATCTTCCCTATTTCCCTCTGATGGTGGCTGCACCTTATTTTTCTCATTCTTACATTCTTTTTTAAATTATGAAATGCGTCACATAATGAGTCTATAAAGAGCCTATGTGGTTTAAAGCACGGCAGTGAGAGCCTGGGACCCGTCACCGGTAATCCCACGTGTGCCCCTCTCCCATCGTACCTACTATGCTGGTGTCAGTCACCCTCTTGCTTTTTTTCGTTTTTTTAATTGGAGGTACTGGGAGTTGAACCCAGGACCTAATGCATGCTAAGCATGCACTCTACCACTTAGCTATACCCGCCACCTTGCTTTGTTTTTAAATTGTAGTATAGTTGGTTTTCAATGCTTCAGGTGTACAGCAAAGTGATTCAGTTATACATGTTATCTAGACAGAGGTATATTCTTTTTCAGATTCTTTTCCATTCTAGGTTATCACAAGATATTGAATATAGTTCCTTGTGCTCTACAGTAGAGGTCTTTGTTGTTTACCTATTTTATATATAGTGGTGTGTATCTGTTAATCCCAAATTCCTAATTTATCCCTTCCCCTCCTTTCCCCTTTGGTAACCAAAAGTTTGTTTTCTATGTCTGTGAGTCTGTTGCTGTTTCATGAATAAGTTCATTTGTATCATTTTTTTAGATTCCACATATAAGTGATATCATGTGGTATTTGCCTTTCTCTGTCTGACTAAGTCTTCACTTAGTGTGATAATCTCTAGGCCCATCCATGTTGCTGCAAATAGCATTGGTTTATTCTTTTTTATGGCTAAGCAGTATTCCATTGTATAAATATACCACATCTTCTTTATCCAGTCATCTGTCGGTGGACATTTAGGTTGCTTCCATGTCTTGACTATTGTAAATAGTGCTGCTGTGAACATTGGGGTGCATGCATCTTTTCGAATTAGAGTTTTTGTCTTTTCTGGATACATACACCGGAGTGGGATTGCTGGATCATATGGTAACTCTATTTTTAGTTTTGTAAGGAATCCTCTTGCTTTTCTTTATGGTGTTTCTACCTTCCTATGTGCCCCTAAATTACATGGTGTTGAACTCAGAGAGCGGAGAACATACACAGCCCTGGCTAAGCAAGCGAAGGGCCAGGTGGCCTGAGGTGCCACTACAGGAGGGGCTGTGCCCTGTGGGGTCAGCACTGTCAGGAAGTCCCTGGTGCTCCTGAGGTGCTGGGGAGATAGAGCAAGGAGACAACACGCCATCATCTGTTTCCTGAGCCACTAGATGTCACTGTTGTGTCCTTGTTGGGAGCTGGTCTTCATTCTGGAACTTCCCAGAGGTGTGCCTTGGGATGGGGCTTTTGTCACCCAGCCTCAGGCACCTGGAAACTTCTGGTCCCAGGAATTCCCTTATTTGGCATCCCTGGACCAGGCAGTCAGTTGTGGCCCTCTCCCCCTTAATTCCTTACTTCCAGAATGTTCTGCAGCCTCTGTACTTTACTAGGGTTTTGAGAAGGGTCAACATAGAATGACGCATTTAGTTGGCCTTAACCCTTGTTTTTAACATATTTTTCATTTTCATCCATGTAACAGAAGCACAGAGTTTCATAAGTCAAACACCTGTCTAGGGACGGGGACACCAGCATCCCCTGCTCCAACTCCCCCGCCCTCCTGCTCTCAGATCCACTGCATGTCAGCGCTTTCATCAGATATTGGGTTATAATCTCACTTTCCTAAGCGGAATCATACTCCCTGGTTTATGATATGTAGCAAGTCAGTGGGGCAGATGGGTTTGTGGGGAGAGGTTGGGGAGGGCACTTCTCCCCTCAGGCGAAATACACCCGTGAGGTGAGGGAGCCCAGAGCAAAGTTTAAGGCCCCAACGTGGGTCACACTTGTCACGCTGGCCAGGCAGACACGCTGGGTCCCATACACGGGCCTTGGGGTCCATCACTTAGACCTTTGGCTATCACCCTGCTGAGGAAAATGGCTTCACCTCTTCTTTTGTATTCTTAATATACATATTACATATACTAAAAGATTACATAATTTACAGGGGGAGGGTGTAGCTCAGTGGTAGAGTGCCTGCCTAGCATGCACAACGTCCTGGGTTTGATCCCCAGTACCTCCATTAAAAAAGATAAGTAAGAACCTAATTACCCCCAAAAAATTTTTTTAAAGATTAGATAATTTACGTTGTGAAAAAAACCAAGACAACAGGCTCAAAAATGGAGTCACTTATGCTAAGGCCAATGTCACCAAACAGAATTACAATTTCGGCTCTCCCTGAAGCCAATCAGAAGTCACCTGATCAGCACTAGTGAGGTGATCTACCTGATAGACCTCGTCTATCCCCTAAAAGAAAGTGACCTTGTCACAACCAGTCCGCTTTTTGCTAGTATAACTTCCTTGTTCCTGCTTCCTTCTGCTTTATAAAACTCTTTTGTATAGCTCCTCAGAGCTTTCTATAGCTGCTGGACTGGATGCAGCCTGATTCATGAAGCATTGAATAAGCCAGTAAGACCTTTAAAATTTACTCAGTTGAATTTTGTTGAACATGTACAGGAGGCTACACACGTGCGCACACACCAGTTTCCCACAGCTGCAGGAAAATGCTGGAGTCAGTAATGGCCCCTTGTCCTCCCTCCCCTGGGTCACCACGGCCTCAACAGTGTGCCCATTTGCTGTATGTGACCTTGATATGAAAGCAGTCCCCCTTGACCTGTGGCAGAGAGTGGCAGCCACAGTGGCCCCCTGCCCAGCACCATGAGCTCAACGCCTCCCTCTCCCCCCATTTCTCTTAGTTCTTGCCATTGATACATTTCATCTCTTCTTTCCTTCTCTCACTTCTTCCTCCCAGGCCTCTGCTTGGAGTCACCCTATGCTCTCCCTCCATCGTTCCCTTCACTCAGCACTGAAGCCCCCGATGACCTCCCATGGCCCCCACCCATTCTGCACCCATGTGGCGGGACAGCATGCAGGAAGCTGCCTCCCATACCACTTGGATCCAGTTTGTAAAAAGCAGCTTGCTCCTTTATTTGTTCGGAAGAGCCTCCTACCCCCATCCCCCATTCCTGCACTGCAGTCTAACAGGCACATGCAATCTAGGAACGATGGCTGGCCCTGGGACCTCTGCGGCTGGGCCTGGGGAGTCAGTTTCTCAAGGCAGAAGCTCAGTGTCCAAGGAGGGCCACAGCTCAGGCACTGTGGTGTAGGAGACGGGCCAGCCGGTGCAGCAGAGACTCCCAGGACCGCCTTGCACCTGGGGACACTGAGGGGTGGCCCGCTCCCTCTGGTCCAGGACCAGACCTTGGGGCCGCAGAAGTGTCTGCAGGTAGCTAGGAGCCCGCCAAGTGCTGGTGGAAGTACAGGCCGAAGAGGCTGGAGAGCAGTTGGCAGGCGGCGATCCACCAGATGAGGAAGGAGAGGACACCTCGGAGGAAGAGGGGTGTGAGCAGGCTGCCCAGGGCCCCGGCGATCAGGGCCGCCGTCTGCTGGGCCGCGACCTCTTCGGGGTTGACCGGGCCATCGCTGATTGAGGACGGGGTGGGGGACAACGAGGGGACCGGGCCCAAGCCCCAGGAGTAGCCGCCTGCGAGAGGAGGGTGGAGGGAGGGATGGGTGGAGGCACTGGCAGAGGCACACACGGGGTTTAGGGACTCCTCCTCCACCGTTTCTGACACTCACCCGCCCCGCCCTAGGCTCCGCCTCCCGCTACCACCACCACCCCCGCCCCAGCGCCCCAGGCTCTGCCCCCACCCCAGGCTGCGCCTCCGACCTCGCCCCATCACCCCACCTCCACACCCCCAACAGCCGGGCACCCCCCTCACCCATCTATCTCCTGCCCTCCCCTCCATGCACCCACCCAACTCCAACTCCAGACCCCGCCTCAGGCTCCGCCCCGCCCCGCCCCGGCCAGTTCTCACCCAGCGTCTTGAGCAGCAGCGTGCAGTTGAGGGTGAGGATGAGCGGTGTTAGGTACTGCAGGCTCACAACCGTCACGTAGCAGTACACCCGCACCACCTAGGAGGCAACAGCCGTGGCTGCAGCCGGGGGCCTTCTGGGCTCCGGGTAACCCCACGCCCGAGGGACCGGGAGCCCCAGCCTGAGCCCCCGGTTTCCTCCCGGGCCCGGGCGCCAGTACCCGCCGCTGGATCTCGCGGGCCTCAATGCGGCCCGCCTCCCTCCTCAGCTGCTCCACACGGGCCTTGGCCAGGCAAAGGTAGGCCTGCAGGTGGGGCCGGGTCACCCCCAGCCGTAGCAGGCACAGTGCCACCAGCACCCAGAGGCGCAGAGAGTCGAAGGCCGAGTCCGACAGCCTGCACGAAAAGGGGTGACAGGACTAGTGAGACCGCTCTTCGCCCCAGGCTCCTCCCCCAGGACCACGGCTCCTCCCATAGCCTAAGACTGCAGTACCAGAGGGGCCCCAGCTGCCCTCTCCTCCCAGATCACTCCCATACGCACAGACAGAAGGACGTGCTCCCAAGGGGCGCCTGGTGCAGAAAGTCCCGTGCAATGGGCTTGGTCCAGAGCCACAGGACAAACAGTGGGGACAGGAAGCTGGTGTGCAGGAGGAACCTGGGGGCAAGGGTGCAGAGGGAGTAGGCTTGGGCATCCACCATTCCCACAGCCCCTCCCCTAGGCTCTCTGAACCCCCACCCACCCGGCCCTCCACCTAACTGTAGCATGGGCCGGTCTTCTGACATGGTCAGCGCATCATGGTGCGTCTGGGCCAGCCGCAGGCCTGGGAAGGTGAGGAAGGCGCCCAGCATGGAGCCCACCACTGCCAGCCCCACGCGGATGGCCAGCTTGGCCAGAGGAAGACTGAGGAAAAGAGAAAGGTCATGGAGCTCGCTGAGGCAGGTCAGCACCCTCCTTGCAGGTCACAGCCAGCTGCTGCTCCCCCTCCCTTCCCAGGACTCACGTCCAGTCCCAGCCCTGTGTCTTCAGAAGTGGCTCCAAGTTCTGGGTCATACTGGCCAGGCCTGGGGAAGACACAGAGAAGGCAGTGTCCAGTAGAGCCCTGGGGCCTCAGAGCCTACTCTGTCCCCACTCCCAGACATCCTTTTGCTCCCTAGGTAGGAACATATTAGTGGCAGCCAGGCCCTGTGACAAGCATAAGGACAATTTTGTTCTCCAGTGATGTGCACCTCAGGAGAATGTGCCAGGCAGACACCCTTCACCGGACTGTGGGGACATGGGGGCAGAAAGCACTGAGCCTGAGCTTCCTGTATTATACCAGGAAGCTGGAGGGTCATGAAGGGCTCCAAGGAAGAAAACCAAAGTTCTGGAGAGAATTCTCAGTTCAGGCCCCCAGATTTTCCACGGAGTAAAAGCAAATCAACAAAAGCTCACAACCAAAATCACCAAACACACAAGTAAAGAAATCACCATAAAGGTGGGTCTGTAGGGAAAAAACAAGACAAGTTTAGACCCAAGGACCTCAGAAATTGGCATTATCAGTTCTGTGTGAAATGACTGGGGGAAATAAAAGCTGGAATCACAGAACGGGCGACATGAGACCACCTCAGGTGACCAGGAGGGTTTGCAAAGAAACAAGTTGAGCTCTTTCAAAGGGAAAATATAACTACTGAAATGATAGGTTGTTAAACAGCATATTAGAAACAGCCAAAAGAGGAAATCACTCAGATTCCAACCAGAAAGACAAGAAGATGGGAAAAATGAAGAGAGATTAAGAGATAAGGAGGACAGAATAGAAAGTCCAGTATAAGTCAAGTCAGGGCCCCAAAGGGAGAGAGGAGAGAAAATGAAGGAGAAGAGATATCGGAAGAGAATGATTGAAGAGTCTGCAGAATGGATGATACAGACGAAGTATATCAAGTCAGATAAATACAAAGAAATCCATACCTACACACACTGTGGTTAAACCGCAGAATACCCAAAATAAAGAGATCACAAAGCAGCCAGAAGTTATGACAAATCACCTACAAAGGAAGGACAATTAAGCTGGCAGCCATTGTCAACAACAATAACAGAAGAGAAACAAATAGAAAGGGGAAAGTAAGATGGTAGAAACAAGGCCAAATATGTCAGTGATCGCAGTAAATGTAAGCAGATTAAACTTTGAAGTTAAATGACACAGACTGTCAGACCTGATTGAAAATATCTAGATATACATATATTTTAAAGTAGATATACCTGAATGTGAGATCACTGTAAGGTTGAAAGTAAAGGGATGTTAAGAAGATATAATAAATACTAATTAAAAGAAAGGTGGTATTTTATATTTGAAAGTTGCTAAGAGAGTAGATCTTGAAAGTTCTCATCACAAGGAAAAAAAAGGAACTATGCATGATGATGGATATTAACTCAACTTAGTGTGGTGATCATTTTGCAAAATACACAAATATTGAATCATTATGAGGTATATCTGAAACTGATATAATTTTTTATGTCAATTATGTCTTACTTTAAAAAGAAAGGAAGGAAGGAAGGAAGCTGGAGAGGCTATATTAATATAAGATAAACTAGACTAAGATGGAAGTATTATTAGAATCAGAAGGGGTCAATATATCAAGAAAAAATGGCTAATTTGCCAGGATGGTTTAGCAATTTTAAACTTGTAAATACCTTGTCAATTATCCTCAAAATACATAAAGAGTACACTGACAGAACTACCGAGAGAAAGTGAGAGCTCCACTATCCCACAGGGGAGGTCTACCTTTAAAGACTGATATGTCAGAAATAAAAGTTAGGAAAGACGGAGATTTGAATTTATTGGACACTTAGAGGCAGGGAATATATGTTAATCAAGAGCATGTGGAGTACACTTACATGGTCAATTAAGCTATAACAAAGGAGGCAAGATTATACAATGGGGAAAAAACAGCCTCTTCAATAAATGGTGCTGGGAAAACTGGACAACTACATGCAAAACTCAGAGTGGACTACTTTCTCACACCATATACAAAAATAAACTCAAAATGCATTAAAGACTAAATGTAACAGGTGAAACCATAAAACTCCTAGAAGAAAACATAGGTGGTATGCTATTCGATACTGGTCTTGGTAATATTTTTTTGAACATGTATTCTCAGGCAAGACAAACAAAAGCAAAAATAAACAAGTGGGACTACAGCAAACTAAAAGGCTTCTGCACAGGAAAGGAAACTATCAACAAAACAAAAAGGCAGCCTATTGAATGGTAGAGGTGGGTAATGAGTGTTTACATTATCTGGTTTTGTAATTTTTATGTGTGTGTGTGTGTGTGTGTGTGTATTCATTACATAATTTAAAAATTGAAAGGTGGGAAGAATTGGTGATGATAAAGCTCAAGTAGTCAGCAGGGCCATGTTGGCCATGGTGAGGATTTTTATCTTTACCCAAAGACCATTAGAGTCTGGTGTCAGGCAGAGAAGTGATGTAATCCAAATTGTTTTTTAAAAGATCATTCAAGAAATAGAGAAAGTCCACAGAAAAAATATTTACAATTCCTATCACACACAAAGGCTAAGTACCTTAATATATAAAGGGCTCCTACAAATCAATAAAAGATCAAAAACCCAGTAGAAAACTGGGCAAAAGAACAAACCTTTTCTGGAAGGGAAATATAAATGGCTCTTCAACATATGAAAAGATGTTCAACCTCACATATTTTCACTCATCAGATCACTCAAGACAAAAATGTCTGAGGAAAACATTGGAGACAATGTGGGGAAATAGGCATGTTCATTGATCTCTTCCTAAAAGGCAATTTTGCAGCATTATTAAAATTATAAGTGCACTTTCTTGCACAGGGTCACATGCACGAGGCTGTTCTTGTAGCAACATGATTTCTGTGCAACAGCATTTAATAGTGGAAAGACTTAAGTAAGTCCATAACTCAAGGCCTGGTTAAATAATCACAGAAAATCTATAAAGTGACATATTGTGTAGCTGTTACAAAATGTAGTATCAAGTTACTGTTACTATGCTACTGTAACATACAACGGACATAGCATCAAGGGACAGTAATATTTATTGTTTTTAAGGGAAAAAAAACAAGGTGTAAAGCCATATACGCTACTGTTTGATGAGAGTATGGGAATGTGGTGCCCTAGGTTTCCTCTGGGGAGAACCAGTGTGGAAGGGTGATTTTCATTCTGTACCTTCTTGTATTTTATCAATTTTATACCATTTACCTATTTCCTCCCCCACATTAAATTAGAATAGGTAAATATTAAATCACTCTGGCTGCTGGGTAGAAGACAGACTGGAGGGGAACAGAAGTGCCTGTGTGAATTTACAGCTGCAGGCATTCATCAGGGACAGTGAGATGGGGTGTCTCCTGTCCTCAAAGCCCAAGGGGGTTCCCAGGGTGGCAAGCATCCATGGAGATCTCTTGGGCCCCAGGAGTCGCCTTCTCACCTACTGTGTGCAGGTGGAAAAGCCACCTAAACTCCACTCTCACCAGCTTACATGAGAGAGTGAGGGAGGTGATTCCAGGACCCAGACTGCACATACCTGGCTCCAGACCGAGCTCGAGGGTCTCCTCCCGCACCACCTGCACCAGCATGGCCAGGAGTAGGAAGAGGAAGGCAAATGTCAAGCAGACGGAGCGCTCACCCCCCTCCTCCGCACTGAAGTACAGTCGGGTCACCGTCAGGAACACCTTGCTGGGGGCAGTGCTAAGGAGGCCTCCAGTGCCAGTGGTGACCCCTCCCCCATCCACCACCCCACTGCCAGTGATCCCCCAACCCCAGAGCACAAACACTGAACTTCAGGTTTGGAATCCCAGGGAGCAGGGGAGGGAGCCAGAAGAGTGAGGCTCTGGGCAAGCCCAGGACACGAGGCTCACTGCTTTTGGGGCCTGAGCCAGGCCTCCAGCTGGGCCTCACCACACTGCCTGTGTTCAGTTGGACATGGCCACCAACTCTGTCTCTTCAGGGGGTCAAGCCTCCCTGACCCACTCAGCCTCCTTCACAGCTCGTGAGTTTCCCATTCCTCTGAGAAGCTAGAGATACAAGGCTCTATCTGCAGTCCGCCCTGAGAGACCCCTGGGGCAGTGTGGGCTGCAAGGTGGGCTTCCCTTCTTTGCGAGCCCATCCCACAAGGGCGTTTTTCTCCAACTTGGGCCCTCAAATTCACAGTTTTGCCTCTGCTCTCTATGCAACTTAAAAAAATTGCAGAGGGGACCTCTCTTTGCCAGCACCTACATCTGGGCTGACCTGGTGACTTGCTTTGACCAAGAGAATGGTTAGAGATGGGATGTCACGACTTCAGGCAAGCCTCAGGAGGCCTGCAGTGCCCCCTTTTCCTTACTGGCTGCTGTGGTGAGGAAGCTTGGTCCAGCCTCGTGGAAGGCGGGCCCACCTAAAGCACAGGGAAGGCAAACTCGCTGAGTCAGGCCCAGAAAAACAAATAAAATAGCGACTACTTTACCCCACTGAGTTTTGGGGAGGCTGCGGCACAGCAGTTGATCACTGATACACCGATTTAGCGGGGCACAAGAAACCTTGGCTCCAGCCTCCGCACGCTCCCGCCTCCCCAGGCTCCCAGGAGGAAGGATACATAGAGAAGGCGACGGTGAGCAGACACCAGAACACCGCGATGTTGGTCTCCTTGGCCGGGCCCAGCGCCGTGTAGTAGTAGTAGTAGGCCTCTGTGAAGAGGTACACGCCGCCCGAGTACACGGCGAAGTCCACAAACCACTGGTACTCCAGGAAGAAGCGCAGGACTGCGGGGAGCACGCAGTCAGCCCTCAATACCCCGCCCAGGACGCCCCCTCCCCAACCTCACCAGGGTATGGGCCAGCGGAGGCGAGTTGGGGACCCAGTTGAGCTATTACCCAGGGCATCAACGGCTGTGAGGGGGCAGGTCTCCAGCTGGAAGGGGGTGTCCCGGGGCACAGACAACGGCTTCTCCTCACTATAGCCATTGGCCCACCTGGGGGGAGCAGGGTCTATGTCAGAACAGCATCCTCCATTCTCCATTCTCAGCCTGGGGTGTCCCTGATTCTCCAGTGCCCAGAGCAGCACCTGGAAGAGGGCAGGGCAGGCCCTGTGCCCTCGAGGCCACTCCTAGAAGGGAGCCGCTCACCTAAGGCTGCGGGTTCACTCACCGCTCCTTCTTGCCTCTGGGCCTCTGCTTCCCCGCCAGGGCCCGAAGCTCTTCCTCGGAAGGGTGCTTGTACCGGAAGAGACTGAGGGGAAAGAAAGACAGGCAGTCAGGAAAGCTAGGGCACAGGGGAATCAAGGCAGTGAAACTCGAAACTTGGGACTGTAGTCAGAGGGAAGGCTGGCCCTGAAAAGCCTGAGGACAGGATGTGTAGGGGCCATCCAAGGCCAGGGTGAAGCCTGGGAGGTGGGCTGGGGGTGGGTTAGGGGAGTGCAGCAGGGGTCCTAGACACCCCTGAATCTGCTGGCTAGCTCTCTCGGTGGAACTGGCACGTGCATTGTCCTGGAGAGAGAGTTCACAATTTCCACCAGACTCTCAGAAAGGGCCTGCGACCCGCACCAGGACAAAAAGAGTTTCGGGAAACAGATCTACAGTTTGAGTAGGGAGGAAGGGGAGCAGGAGTTGGGGAAGCAGCCACTCTTCTGAGTGTGGAGATGGTCTCACCGGTGTGTACAATCTGTCAAAATAGATCCAACTGGGTAATTCAGATATTTGCTGTTTATTGTACATCAGTCATATCTCAATAAAGTTGTTAAAGAAAAAACTCAGCATGCAGGGCGTGAGGTGGGGCCTGGGGGAAGCCAGGGAGCGGGGCTCTTGGGGTTCCTCCTACCGCCCAGGGAGGGGGCTTGGCTCACCTCCCATTGCAGAGCAGCCAGCGTGCAAAGGAGCAGTGAGGCGCCAGCCTGTGCATGAGGGTGGCAGTGAGCAGCGTCACTACCAGCTGCACTCCAAGGACAGCCTGGGGGAAGAGATGTGAAGGGCAGTGCCTGCCAGAGGGTCACAAGCTCATTTCCTCCGAACCCGGGCTATTTATAGAGATACTGGGGCCAGGTGGGGGAGGGAGGGCCTCCCTGGCTCCAGCTGAGTGTTAAGAGAAAGGTACTGAGGTCAGACTCAGCTGGGAGCCCCAGCAAAGTGCAGGTCCCACCCCACCACCTGGCTGGGGTGTGGGCTAGAGGAGAGCACGTGTTGGAACAGAGACTGGGGTTCACTTTCAGCCTCTGCTAAGGATTTAACATATTAATCTCTTATGAGCCTCAGTTTCCTCATCTGGAAATGGGATGAAAGTGGTCTATTTCTGGCCACTACCTGTTTCAGAATCCTTACACATTTGAGGGGGATGACTTTTTTTAATTAGGAATTTTCTTACCAGTTTCTACTGACAACCTTTGAAACAACAATTCATAACACATTTTCATATACTCATTTTAAAACGTTTTAGAGGAAATGTTTTTGGTCATCAGTCTGAAGCTGAAAAGTGGGTTTTTCTGCTTGAATGCAGTACATACAGATTTGCTGTCAGTAATTATGTAAAATTACATGCTCCAGAGAGCTGTCTGCTAGTATTATGGTATTATAATTAACAACTGAAATGAAATTTAAAAAAAAAAGAACAACTAAAATGAAACAAAGATTACATTAATATAAAAACCAATTATTAAAATTATCCTTTAATCAGGCAAAAATAAGCTAACTTTAATGGGAAAAGCTCTAGTGTGATGGATATTGGGCTAGCACTGTACTTCAGAATGACCGCTGAGAAATCCATCATTAAAATCATTGACTAACAGGATATTTTCTCTATGCCTGTGACTTGTAAACTGAGACCAGGAATATTTTTTCAGAAGTGAGTTTGGGGTGCCATCTTTCTGCTCTCTAAATCTCACTAGTCTCCTAGTCCCACTCCTTACCCTCCCCTCCACCCAAGTGCAGACTGGTTAGCAGACATTAAAGACCCTGAGTTGGGTCACTGTTGGGCCCCTCCAAGCCCAATGGGTGGGCCCTCTAAGCAGCCCCGCCCTTCCTCCTAGAACCCCCTAGTCTACTCCTCCCCACAGTTCCCAGCGCCTCCCATCAACTGCTCTCCAGAGTCTCCCTAGTTTTCCAGAAGACGCCTCTCCCTTGTGACCTATCCCCTGGCAGGGTTTTAACCACCGACCCAGCCCAGCACGACTCCAGCTCAGCGGTACCTGCAACCTGGACCTCTCTGCCAAGCTCGAGAACCATGCCTCCTCCAGGCCCTTCCCAGGAGGCCCGAGCACCTACTCATTACTCCCATGGACACAGCTCTTGGCTCCTCTAGGCAGCCCAGACCTTTCCAGTCTCATAGTAAACGTCCAACTCCACTCCTCAGCCTGCAAGACCCTGCAGGCCCAGCTCAAGACAACTATGCCTCAGCGCCCAGCTCTCTCCCGCTGCTCCCCTGTGTCCAGCCATTCAGGTCTCAGAGGCCCTCCCAGCCCACCAAGCTCTCCATTACTGACCCCATTACCCTTGGACACCTCCCAGGGAGGAGACTTGTAGTTCAAACTGCAGTGCTAGCACCTAGGAGCGGAAGGACAGAAGGAAGAAGAGGGAAAGAAGAAGGGGGAGAAATAAAGGAAGAAAGAGGGAAGGATGGAAGAAAGGATGAAGGAGGAGGGAAGAAGAGGAGGGAAGAAGAGAAGGGAAGGAGGGAAGAAAGGCATGCATCCCTCCACCTAAGTCTCCAGAGGTCTGTCCAGGGATGCTTCTCATGTCCCTGCTCCCAGCACCTTCTGGTCTTGGGGTCCACGGTCTGCAGATCTCCAAAGATCTCTGGAGCCTCCTATCAGCCTATGTCCCTCCTCTGCTCATAGCCCTTCCCTGGATCTATAATCCCAGAACCCAGAATTTTGCGCAGTAGGATCAATGCGACCTTCTACCATCCTGTTCTCGAGATCCCTTCCCCTCACCTCCCACAGGATCTTGCGCCCGGGCCTGGAACGATGTTCGTTCCATTAATGCTCTTACTTCAGGCCCACCTCCAACGCCGTCCTTGGTGATCCCCCACCCCCCCACCCCGATCCCAGGCAAGGTGAGGCCCCCTTCCCGGCCCCCTCCAGCCTGTCCCTCCCTCTATCCAGTCCGAATCCCTAAGGGCTGGGGACGGGGGTGGGGAGGGTCTCCGCCCTCGCCTCGCACCAGAATAAACTCAATGGGTTGGACCCAGAACCGCGTGAGACCTGAGGATTCCAACTGTGCTGTTTCCAGTTCTGGAACCCTCGCCTGCCATGAAGCCACCTAGATCCCCTCGACATGGACCCCCTCCTCTCAAGATTCTCCCTGGTCTCTCTTGTGTCCTTCGGCACAGCCCAATACCCGTAGGGACACCCAAAGGATCCTGTCAGCTCGGCCCCCACGTTCCCGCTGGAAGCCATCCCCAGAGTAGGCCGCAGGGGGGCCCCAGATCTCCCTCGTGGGGCTCCGAATGTGTTCAGATCCCCAGTCCCCTCCACAGAACGACCCCTCGGCAGGGCCCCAGGCCCCCAGAGGGTCCCCCAGGGACTTGTCAGAAGCCCAGAACGCTCAGAATCTTCCAGTCCCCTTGTACAACGCCGAACCCCCTTACAGATCCCGCAGCGAGACTCTGACCCCAGAGAGGGACACATAGCCCTCAGACCGACCCCGAGACCCTCAGAGCGCTCAGTCCCCATAATGGGACCCTCGTGTCCTCAGTGTCTCCCTGGACCCCCTTCGCGGAACCCCCTGTTCCTCAGGGCTGCGAGTTGCAGGCTCACCATGTTGCCGGAGGGAGCGCGGTGCCCGGACCCAGGGGCCTGGAGCGCGGAGCACCTCGCGGAACTAGACCAATCAGAACCCTACTTTGGTCTGACAAGCAGCCGGTCCAACCAATCATCACGATTGGAGCCGGGGCAAATCACGAGGGACAAGGAGCTGCTCACGTTGCATGCCGGAAGTTGTAGTTCGAAGACTCGTGACGAGCTCAGTCCGCGGTTGAGGCGGGACCGTCTCTGGGATTTCTGTGTGGCCACTGTCTCTGAGATTGTCTCCTTACCTGCGCCTATTTCGCAGGTCTGCGGCGAACACACTAATTCATCCACTCACTGTCTCCCGCTGGAGAGGTCTGAGCGTGGAACTCCCCTGATAAAGAACTTCCGGTGGCTCCTACTGACTAGACTTCCAGTTGCTCAGACTGAATTGAGACCCCTTTGCCTAATTTCAGTCTGTCTCCAACACTGTTGTACGCAGTATAGTACAGCTAGCCACCGACCATGCTTTCTAATATCTCCAGGCCTCTGTAACGCCATCTTCCATCTTGGAATGCCCCCTTTTCCCCTCCTTCTCTCTCTCTCTCTTTTCTTTTTCACCTGGCAAAAGTCTTACTCATCTCTATCAGCCAGAACTCTGGTTGCAAGACCCCCCCCCAAAAAAAAGTCCAACTCAAATAGGCACCAGCAGTAAAGGGAAAGTTTTGGCTCATGTAGCAAGAAACTGTAAAATCAGTATCAGCTTCAGGCATGGCTGGATCAAGGACAAAAATTGTCAACCTCAGGAATCTAATGTTTTCTGTCTCAAGACTTAGAGGAAAGGGCTTCAAACCTAAGTTTTGCCAGCTATGTTTCTATGGATAATTATGTCTGCTTGATTGTGGACATATCATGTGGATGTGACTAAAAGTCTGAGAGTCTTTATGGGGCCTGTGAGTGGATCCTGTATAATTGACTGGCTTGTCTCTGTGGATGTTTTTTTCTTTGTTTATGAGCACATATAGATGTCTGTTTGCAAGGGATTCACTATTTGTTGACTTTGGTCCTGTGGATTCAGTATGTCCGCTTGAGAGACCGTGGGTCATGAAGGCAGTGAGGATCACTGAGATTTCCCAGGACCTACGCGGCAGTCATGAGATGCCCCTCAGGGCGGTAGCATCCAGATAGGATCCAGGGAAGCTGGGATTTGTCAGAGAAGAGGGACCAAGAAGGGGGGGGGGCGTTTGCTGCAGGCCCACTGCATGCCAGGATGGGGGTACTGATCAAAGTGCTCCCTTCAGCATATCAGGATGCTGGGACAATTTTCACCATTAAATTGATAAAGATACTGAGGCTCTGAGTGGGCCAGATCTCTCCTTCACACCCAGACTTCTACCCTGGGCATAGGATTATGAGTACAGGTGTCACAGCACCCGGGCCACAGGCAGCTCACACACATCCTGGCCCCAGGAGCTCGGCAACTTCCCTCTGCAGCCTCCTTACTGCAAAGAAGGCATTTCCGTCCTCCAGGTGCTTATCCCCAAACTCTGAAGTTGACCTTGAATTCTCTCTCTCATTCCATAACTAATCTGTCAGCCCCTCCTGATGGCTCCATCTTCCAAGTATAACCATTGTCCCATCCAGCCTCACTCCCTTCACAGCCTCTACCCAGTTCAGCCTCCATCATCTCTTACCTGCAGTCCTCTTCTCCCTGGTCTTCTGTGGCTTCCATCCCCTCTTCCCCACCCCACCTCCCACAGTCTGTTTTCCCCTGAACAGCTTGAGGGCAACTGTTAACACTTAAGCCAGACCATGTCCCTCCTCTGCTCCCACCATCCATGGCTCCCACCTCATACAGAGCAAATGCCAAAGCCTCCTCCTGGTCCATGTACTCCATCTTTCATTGTTTGCTCAACATCTCTGTTCTACATTGACTGTTCCTCACTCCCTATTCTACATTGCACGTGCTATGTTCTCTGTTCTCCACTGGACATTCTTCACTGTCTAGTCTCCCTTGGGTGAATTCACATTCTCTGTCCTACACTGGGTATCCCATTTTCCCTGACACTCATTGGACACTCTATGTCTGTCTACGCTAATGTCCCACATTCTCTGACTACACTGAAGTCCACACTCTGATTTCTCATCGGCTGTTTCACCATCTTTATTTATGGTGCCTAAAAAATGCATCTCTCAGATCTCTGACTTCCATCATCATGTTTGCACCCAGTCCATGCTTCCCATGGTGCTTTCAAACAGTGACCAAGAGCTCCCGGGACAGAGTACCACCTCTGATGGTTACGTTGGCCCTGGCCAACATCACCATGGTGTCCTTAGAAAGAATGGCAGTAGAACACTTCCACAAAGCCTCTTCTTCCTCTTCCACAGAGGCAGCAGGGCAGAGCTAGAGTCTACACCTACAGGCATTTCCTGAACCCGGTAGCATGCCCACTGTCCCTAATGGCCCAGGACACCCCAAGCTGTCCATGTATAACAACACACACCACATGTGATACAGCCCTTTTTGGTGTCTCCAGGCTCAGAGAGAGACTGAAAACATGGGGTGAACTCCCTGGAATCCAAGAGAGATTTTATTTATTTATATTATTTCCACTTTATTTTCAAATTTTCAGTGGGGAATTCAGAATCCAAAGCACACTATTGGGTGCCACCTAGTGGCAGGTGCTGGAAGTGCAGCCACCCAGGGATGAAGATGCAGAACCACACCCAATGGCCCTGGGGCCCACCCCAGACTTTGAAAGCAATCCACTTTTTTATGAACTCCACTCTGGGCACTTAGCCTGTGGGCACTGACTTCAGGGACTGACCCACCTTCTTATCCATCGTTGGAGTGATATTCAGAGGCTGAAAAGGGGCCCACTCTGGTCATGCCTCTGTTTTCCCCAGAAGACCAGCTGGCTTGGCTTCTCTCTTCCTCTTAAGCCCCTCTCTAGTCCTGTGTCTGGTTGTATGGGGAGCTGTGACTGCAACACTGTGGAAGGCCACCAGGTGGGCAGTTTATCCACCCCATGTGGATGGCCAGGGTCCTTGTGACCTGAGGAAGGGGATCCCCAGAAAGGTAACCGAGATGGAGAAATTTGCACCTGCATGGTGACCATGGCGCATGTGGTGATGGTGCTGCTGTGGCAGGCACTGCGTGCTTGGCTGGATCCCCAGAGTCCACTGTCATGGGTTGGGGTGGAGATAGTGGTTCACCCCTCCTCTGAGGGTAGGCAGGGACAGAAGAGAGCAGGTGGGGATGATTTAGGACCTGAATCTGAATTGGGTGAGAGAATATTCCGGCCTAACTCAGACACTCCACAGAGTTCACCCCACACCCTCTGCATTCTCTGATGCCTTCCCTGTGCAAGAGGGGGCAGCGAGCTGCCAATGACACCTTCTCCCCTTCACCCCCACATCCCAGCCATCTGCGGGTCTGGTGCCTCTCCCTCCAAACACACCATGGGGTGTCCCTCCATCACCCCTCAGCCTCCTGCCTCTTTTTCCTCTGGACCTCAGTTCCACCCCGCTGCCACAGAAGTCCCAGGGAGGATGGCTTTTACAAACTTTGATCATGCCATGTCCCTCCCCTGAAAACTGGAGCTCCAGAACCCCAACTTCACTGGGGATGAAAGTGTCAAAGACTGGGAAGCTCAGAGGACAAACCCTTCCTGGGTCTGGCATGTGAATGGTGCTATGTATATGGCCACTCAAGCAAATGCTCTCACTTCACCAAAAAGTCCTATCACTTTACACATGTTCCCTTCTCTCCTTGCCCCTCTAGGGAGTCCATCCAAATTCCTGGCTAGGGAGGGGGAGTACAGGAGAAAGGGAGGTGACTGACTTTGAAGCCTCTTATGCACATATTTGCCTCTGTATCCACATCTAGGTCTGTGTGCCCTAAGGGTAAAATCCAAGGCATTGGATTTTTGGAAAAAATCCAATTCCTTGCAAAAAACCTTGGAAAAAGCCCCTCTAAGGAGCGCTGGGGTGACAAAAGGGGACAAGTCTTGAAATTATTGGTCAAGCTGACTTATTCACCCCAAGCCAAGCTGGACCAATCAGCTTTGGATCTTAGTAGAATGATGGGGAGAAGGGAGGGGACACACAAACCTTAGAAATACTGATACTAACACCGTATTTTTTTTCACATTCCTGTCCAAATCAGTGATCTTCACTAAGCAAACCCTTTGAGAATTGTCAGAGCTGTTTCTCAGTGTGGGGCAGTGCAGAGGGCTTCCTGGAGGAGGGAACATGGAGCTGGGCCTTGGAGGGTAGGAAGCAGTCTAAAAAGGAGGCCAGTTGGGAGTTGTGGGAGGTGGCCCAGGAGGAAGGAACAGCATGGCTCTAGCTTGGAACAGTAAGTATTTCTAGGGGCCTCAGGGCAGAGGACAGAGTGGGTGGGGGCAGCCAAGGAGTTCCAGAAGGTCAGGGGTCAGATCCAAGCGCTATAAAGATTCCACTGAGACCTGGGAGGTAGCTGGAGGGGAGGAACAGACGGAGCAACATTTGGCACCTGGACCCCCAAGTCTGCCCTCACACAGGACAGGCCAAAGTGGAGGGAGTTTGCATCATGTGGAAGTGGGTGGATAAATGCCTGGGTCTCTCTTCCCTCCAGTGGAATGAAATTGTTAGGTCCAGAGATCAAGGGATCTGCCCATTTTAAGGATGAACAGTGTAGTGGCCGTTCCTTCACGCATACTGCTCAACTGTTTTTTCCTTATTCACGTTTCTTAACTGCTTCTTGCTACAAGCAATTGTGACCTAGCCTGGGGCTTCCCCCGAGTCCTCCACTGGACACCTTCAGGAGTTGGAGGGTAAATAGTCCAGCTTCTTGCCCCTGTGGTGGAACCACTCTAGGTGCACACTCTCAGTGGTCCCCTAGGGCCCCCAGTGAGCTGAGCACCCACTGTCCACGGTGTCACCTGCTTGGTGTCACCTGCTCCTTGGGCTCCCTGCAGGGTTCCTCCCCTTAAGTCCCGGCCCCCACACCCCTACCAGCACTCCCAAGTCTTCTCAGGGTCAGATTCTGGAGGAGGTACCCCAAACCAAAAAAAGGCAAGATTGAGGCTCCTGGGGAAGAGATGAGAAGACCCAGGCAGGAGCGTGGCTCTGAGCCCCGACAGTTTCATCCATGGATGCCACGTGTGTTTTATTGATGGATACACACACAGGAAGGGGGAAAGGAGCCCAGAATTGCGAATCCGAACCCAGCCTTCCCCTCTTACAACCGCGGAGAGGGTCGCAACTGTTGGGTCTTCTCCAAGGACACAGGGAGAGAGGTTGAGACCCCACATGCCCTCACTCAGCCTGGCCTGGGGGGCAGGATCGGTGCCACCCCCGGGGCCTACTACCGGGGCCAGCCTTCTGCAGTGGGCAGCCGGCGTAGCGGGGGGCCGGGCCGTAGGGGCTCTGCCAGCGGCCGGGCCAGGAGCAAGGGGTAGGGGAAGGTCTTTGGAAAGTCGCTGGGGCCTCCGGGCACTGG